AAGTAGCTACTACTCAAATAGCCAACCAAAACCCAGAGGTAACAGCAGATAGAGGATAAAGACAGGGAAGTGTCATAAGTACTCATATCAATTGAGAATTTGTTACAGTCAAGTGGTAGAGAGTTAAAACAGAACAGCAAGAATTGATTCCAAATACAGAAAAACAACCACATCTCTTTTCTTGCCTTTATTTTAAAAGTTCAAAAAAGATCTTCAGTTCTCCAAAACTACTGTTCTCCAGCAGACCAAACATGGTATTGTTAGCAGCACAGTGCAGATGCTTTTATTTTAACCAAACACTGTAATACTATTCTTTATCTTCTGATTTGCATCATGATGGAATTCTTTGCTGCAGGCAAGAGATGAAAACCTGCTTCTATCTCAGAGTTATAGTGATATTTAGAGTAAGTCCAGGCCAACATTCACAACTCTGATACACAACCAAAGAGAAATAAGATGGAACTTCTGAGAAATGCACAAGGAGATGAAACCTATTAAGCGAAGAATCTAGATGTATTCTATATCCAGTGGCCAGACTTTAACAGCTATGAGAGAAGATTGACAATGTTGTACTCTTGACAGACTGAAAGACTCTAATCCTGTAGATCCCAAAATACACATGCTGAAATTTAATTACAATTTGTCAGTGCTAAGAAGTGAAGCCTATGTGTGTATGTGAAGCCAAAATCCCCATGAGTAGTATTTGTGTACTTTCAATAGACCAGAGAGCTACATATGCCTGTTTCTTCAATGGCCTTGCTAGGATACAAATACAAGCCAGCATGTACAGCCTGGACAGGGGTTCTCACCAGAACCTGGGTGTGTAGACATGCTGGTTACTTTCTGACATCTAGGCTCTAAAACTGGGAAAAATAATTTTCTACAGTTTATAGTTCACACATTATATGATACTTGATTGGAGTACTTCAACTGATGGAGACAAGAAGTTAATTTTAAAGAGCAATAGTCTATCTGGATCTCCAAACTCCATGCCCAAATTCCTGTAAATTCCAACATTTCAATAAGGCCACAGGGCAACTCACAAACACTATTACTTATCTTAGTCTGCCAATTTCTCATTCATAGACTTTAGTCCCTTCTAGCATACTACATGGCATCTTTGTTACCTGTCCCTCTTCACATCCTTTCCAACAATATACACAAGACTGTTAGAGTTCCTAGCACACAGCAGCCACTAAAATGCCAGTAGTTATTAGTTGACAAAATCAAAGACTCTGGGATTAGCCAGGATTGCTGTAGAATAGAGATTGTCTTCCTTGGCCCTGAGTTTCTTTGTTGGTAAAATGAGGCACATAGGAGACTCTTCCTCATTAGAATTATCCTGTGTATAAAGTGAGACAGTGCATGCCAAGTGCTTAAAATTATGAACAGACACAGTAGACTTTTGGTAAGTGTTAATTGCCATTATTGTTATTTCAAGATTCATTTCCCAGGGGCTGATGGATTTGTGATGATTTACACTCTCAAGCAATCAGCTCTCTTCATCTGACACGGTAGCTCCTAGATGGTGAAAAGGCTCTACTAGAACGAAAAGCTACCCGGGGCCAATCCACATGGCTGTGGCCTCTCCAGCTTTAATTCAACAAGGCCTAGGGCTTTGCAAAGGAGCTGTTAACAGTGTGAGTGCCTCTGACCTGTAGAAGCAGAATAAACATAACACTGAAACCTTAAAAGGCAGAGAAAGCAGCTCCCCTTTTCCTACTTGAACTGAGATTTGTTTCTTTGGCTTAACTGAAGTCAAAGCTATTAGTTCTAATGTCTTTGAATCCCCCAACTCATTCTTCATATTTCTCTACAGTTGCTGTAACTTATACTTTTTGAAACCAGATAAAGAGGAAAAAAAAATGGTCTCTCATGAAAGAATTTATCAGAACATACTAATCATTTAGACATTGGCTTATGTTTCTAGAAAGCTAAAGATTAAGAATGTAAGTTTTTCCCCTTGAGCAAAATCCAAGGCCAGCCTAAAAGCAGAGAATTAATCTGAATATTCACTAAGAATTTAGGGAAACAAAACACTTTGAAATCACTCATTACGGATTTATAAATATCTTTGATCTCAAAAGAAGAAAAAAGAAAGCAAAGATTTAGGGACCAGAATTAGGAGGACAAGTGGGAATGAGTGAGCAAGATGGGCGCAGAGACTATTTATTGATTTCTTAGCAGTTAAGTCTTCACTATTAATTATAATAAGTCTCCACAAGGCTAATCTCCTCTAAGTGCTCCATTAAAATACATCAAGAAAGCAGAATGAAATGAATGGCTGCACAGTTAGGGAAGAGATAATGGCAAATCCTTTCAGTGAGACTTTCTCTCTTCACTTTGGAAGAGCTCAGGAGATAAAGTGGATGATCTGCCCTCCCCCACCCCCCCAGAACATCTAAAAACTGTAGTGAACACAATATATGATGAGTGTGTAGTTCCAAAAGGAACCCAAAACTCCAATTCTGACAATCTCCCAGACAATGTTAACCTCACTGCACCTTGGATCACTGTGAGGTGGAAGGGACCGTCCCACGGCACCTGTTAAGACAGTCTTACAAAGACTTTTCAAAAGATGTGTAATGTGCTTCCCAAGAGCAGGTAGCTAAAAATTCTAATAATTCAACTACAGTATTTACAATATCCAAAGGCTGTTCAGACACTGTCAACTACCGGGAATTATAGAAATATATATACTTGTAGTTTTAAAGCATACACGTACACCACTGAGATATAGTTGAACAGGTTCGACACAGTCAACATATAAACACTCACTGAGAAGCCTCCCCCTTTATGTTTGAAACATACTACAACTAAATTGCACCCAATCTAGCAAACTATCTTGATTCTCAGTCTCCTTTGGTAATAGACAAAATTGGTAGGTATGCTTTCATATTCTTTTGAATTTGATACTCTGGATGAGAAAGATGGCACATCATATTCTAACAGGCATCTCTGTGTAGATCTTTATCATGCCATAATACAACTTTATTTACTATGACCAATTATATATAAAACCCTGTTTAGAAGTGCCCCAGTGTAACAGAGTGGAAGGAAAAGGGAGGTTTGGGGTCATGTTACTTGGGTTTCTGTTTTCTTTCTTGTCTATCACAGAGGAATCTTGACTCATCTGAAATGATTTGATGAAAACTAAACACAGTGCAGCTCTTGAGCCAACACTCACAAACCTTCCTATTGGTCTCCTCTGATCAGCTGAGCACAAGTGCCCCCCCTCGTACTATGAAAAGTCCACAGTGTATCTAAATCCGATCCCAGTAAAATTTGACTTGAACTGAAGTGAAAATGCAGAGGTAGCATTTACGGGTAACAGCTGGAGAACATTAGTTCCCTGTCTATCCCTTCTCTCCCAAGGGCTGAAAATTCTGCTGTTCAGACAGGAAGTCCTCATATACCACACACTGTATGATACTATATGCTGGGACGTAAGAGCACGTGACAGAGGAGTAGGAGAGTTCTGGGATGGTTTAGTTGGAGAACCCCAGTGAGAACACTTGTACTTCTGAAGCCGCCATCTCCCTCCTGATGCAGCCAACCTAGGACTGAGTGACAGGAAAACTGAAAGTTACTAAATACCCTTTGAGGACTCAAAGTTAAGACGCTTCACTGCTTGCTTGTCTCTCCACACATTTTAAAAACATTAACTTGAATAACTTTGGAGAGCGAGTGGCCAAGATTCTCCAATAATTTATTTATTTATTTATTTATTTATTTATTTATTTATTTATTTATTTATTT